GACTTAGATTAGTATTATTGGTACTAGAATTTGGGGTGGGTTTGGTTCATTTAAGGTGGGGGCTTCAAAGTCGTCATTTGGGTGCTTCTGGGTCATTTGACGTGGGCTCTTCCGTGGACTTGGATTAGTATTATTGGTAGTAGAATTTGGGGTGGGTGTGGTTCATTTAAGGTGGGGGCTTCAAAGTCGTCATTTGGGTGCTTCTAGGTCATTTGACGTGAGCTCCTCCGAGGACTTGGATTAGTATTATTGGTAGTAGAATTTGGGGTGGGTCTGATTCATTTAAGGTGGGGGCTTCAAAGTCGTCATTTGGGTGCTTCTGGGTGGGTCATTTGACGTGGGCTCTTCCGTGGACTTGGACTAGTGTCGGCGTTTGACGGTTATGCTCCTTAATTACTGACAACGAAGCGGAGTTCATTTTCTTGTTTACATGTTGTCCGCAGCGGCAATTGGATGCTTTCGCAAATTGTAGGATGGCTTTATCTAACAGCAAATTAACGGATCATGTGTTACAATATGTTTTAATAAAAAATCCTCTTTCATTTTTAAATTTGATTTTTTAATTTTTTTAAACATAAATTTTAAATAAAAAATTAATATATCATATAAATAATAATTAAAAAAATTTAATTAAATAAAAATACTTAACAAAATTTATATATTGAGAAAAAAAGTTTATATTTTCTATTTATATAAATGATTAAATTTTAGGGTTTTTTAACTTATACATTAAAAGCACAAATTAAGAGTATTGAAAAAAAAATATTTAATTTATTAATTATTTAATTAAATTTATTCACATGATATTAACTTTAAAATTAATAATTTATTTTTATATAAATTTATTATAAAAAAATGTTTTTAACCTATATTATAAGGGAACATATTGAAAAAATCCTTAAATTTTTATCTAAAATTTATATTCTAAAAATCAAAATCAAACTAACTTTACTAGAAGTAAAATAACTTATTTGCGTGGGTCTTGACTTCAAACTTACCTATAGAACAGGCAGTGCCAAGGGCACTCTTGCCTTGCCAAAGAGGTCGGAACAGAGAATATCCCAAGTTCCCAACTAGCACCAATAAATGATAAGACTCCATTAAGGGTAAATGGAAATACACCTAATTAATGAAAGGCCATTCCATTACTACTTTTTCCCCCTTTTTTTTTATCAAAATATCTTTGAACCAACTTAACATTTTGACATTAATCTCTCTTAAACAATTTTAATTAAAGGCATTAATCTTGTAGCTAATATATGGATCTAATCTCATTTTTATCTTTTAATTTAAGCAAAAAAGTTTATATAGCAAAAGTATTAATTGAAGCAAAATGAAGGAATTTGTTTTACTTGTTTTGAAGAATATGTTGAAGTAATATTAAGAACATACCCTACATCAACTTGATGTATTGAAAGAAATTAATTTTTCTAAACACTAATTTTAAAACATCTTAGATTTAACTTATAAAATAACACTTGTAATCATTTGATACATCTTAAATGTAATCTAATTTTTACCTTTTAACTGAAGTAGAAAAGTTTCTAAAGCAAAAGATATTAACTGAAGCAAACTGAGGGAATTTGTTGTACTAGCTCTAAAGAATATATTCAAGTAATATTAAGGACATACCCCAAGTCAAATTGATGTATTGAAAGAAATTAACTTTTTTAAGCACTAATTTTAAAATATCTTAACTCTAACTTATAAAATAACACTTTCAAGCATTAGATACAACCATTGAAGTTAACCCGTTTTAAAGTGTCCAAAACTCTATTTGCAATCTTATATATATACAACTAGGTTGACTTCATTGAACTTAAGGAAATTAACTGGTAAGATTATTTATAGTTCTGGTATGTTTGCTTATCATTAATTAATGGATAAAGTCCAATGGTTGACAGATCAAAAGAAAGGTAAACGTGGGTTTGTAACAAATTCAATTAGTTTGTGGGGTTTGAGAGGAAATGGTAAAGCCATCACAATCATGAAGTCAATATTGCAATTACATAATGGAACAAAGTCAAGCAAGTGAAATTCAATCTCTTCTCTATAAGGAGACTTGGTTTCTCTCAGATTTATTCTTTAAGACAATTTACAGAATGATAATGTAAGACGTGCAAGGGCACAACTACTTGGAGGTTGGGATCTATTGATAGGGTAAGAAAAAAGTCTTAGAGTTGAGATTAAAAGAAAAAAGGCACACTCTTGATTTCCCCTTGGTTCCACCCTAGAATACGTGAGTTGATTTGTAGAAATCCAATTTATTAGTACATATGAATTAGCTAGTGAAAAACCATTCATCTTAAAATCAGATAAAGGATTGCCATTTGATATCTATATAACAAAAGGCTAGGTACAATAACTTCACACTATCAAAAACACAAACGATTAAAAGATTACAGATGATCAATGGGTCTTAATAAGGACACTAGATATAATAAACATAAACCTAGAAAAGAGAATGACATAGGAATTAATATAAAAATTTCCATATATCCAAGTACTTACTACTTAGCATGCAAAATTATCATCCTTGTTGTTGATAATGCATTGTTGTAAATAGTTGGATCCAAGGTATGACATCCGTAATTATGGAAAATATCACCGTTATCCACCACTGTAGAGCTTTAAACTCAACTATGGTGAATTGTAATAGATCTTTGGGAAACGACATATGTAATCGAACCCACCAAAGCACAAACCAGACTATTGCAGTTAACCATTCATTGTATTGCATGTAGGGTTCCAAACCAACCAACACCACAATACCATATTTGGCAACAGATAACAAAGACCAAATCATACCTATCATTCCTTTGGTGTTTGTAGAGGGAGGTGATAGATCTTTAAGAGAAAAACTTCGTACCCAAAAACAAAATCCAACATAGCTAATTACTGCAAATAACCAATCTTTGTAATCCACCAAAAGACATATGGAAAGAGCAAACATGAAAATCCCTTGTGCAACATTTACAACTATCAAAATCAAACCACTGATTCTGTTGTTATTTGTAGAGGGCAATGAGCTACCATTGGGATTGGGATAAAACTTATGGAATCGAACACTCCAAAGCACACAACAGCTTGTGTTAACTAACCAACTTTTATAATCAGACATGAGATATTTGAAAGTGAAGTTGGCTTGTGATATCATTGTAGCGAATGATGAAAAAAGAAAAAACATGCCGGTGCTTCCAACTATGGTATTTGTAGAGGGACCTTCTTCCAAATCCAACCAATATTTATCTATCCAACTCTTGAAACTAAACAACACAAAACAGACGGAGGCAATTATCCACATTGGAAACTTAAACTCATAGCGGTTGTAAGTAATGGATCCAATGACTCCAATGATGAAACTAAACAACCCAAAATCTGTTTGCGGTCGTAATACCACCAATAGACATAGAAAAAAAACTGCGATGAACAACATAGAACAGAGACTCCTCAAAGAATTATCATAAAATTTTTCAAAAAGAAGAGCTAGAATAAAGAATGTGAAGTTTGATGTTAACTTTGTGGCACAACCGCAGCTTCCACGGAGAATTCGGAGATCACTCCAATGCTTCGAATACCCTAGCAGATGGAGGCCAACAAGCAACAATAACTGTGTTTTAGTCCCTCTTTTATCAAAATTTGAAACCCACTCTGTATCAAGTAAAAGAAATGTGGCGGAGAACAAGGCAAGTTTACCAATTAGCTTGACCTTTAGCTGACCCTTTGCTGCTTCATTGTTGAAATGCATCTGGAGGGCTTTGGATAGATTCTCCATCGTCTCAGTAACTGGATCCAACAAGGCTCTCATTATTGATTGACAATAAACCTTTAGAATTTTCCATTGATTGCTCACCTCCCCTTTAATCCAATCATGTAGAAATATTACCCCAAAGATTAGATTGGTCACTGTCATTAATGGATGAAACTTAACAACCAACCTCACAATCTTCACAATCTGAGGCATTGCTGTTGAATCTCTCATATCTTCCATTGGGGAGTAAGATGAGAAACAATTCGCAGCGTTGGTGGTTTATTCCGATTAATTCTTCATCATTGGTTTACTACAAGTTAACGTTTTTTGTGGGACATGGGTTGGTATTGGAGTCGGTCTTCCTTGGACATGGAATAGTATTTGGTCTTCTCTGGACTGCATTAGGTTCGGCACTGAAATTTAGCGTGAGTCTGCGTCATTCGGGGTGAGTCTTCAAACTCGTCAGCCGACGTAGGCTTGGGAATTGGGTCACTTGAGGAGGGTTTTCAAATTCTGGGCCACTAATTTTCTGTGGGGTCTTACCAGGACTTTGACTAGGATTGGTATTTGACGGTTATTTAGCTTACTTTCCTTTCTCACTACAAAGCCATGTTCATTTTGCAAATATATGAAGATGGCTTTCTCTAACGATACAAAAACGAGTTACAACATGACAAAGAAAATAACTCATATGGGTGGGAGTTGAGTTGAGACTTGCATATATAACAGGCACTGCATAAGGGCACTCCTACCGTGGCAAAGAGGTTGGAACAGAGAATCTCCCAATAACCACCCGTAAATGATAAGACTTCATAATAAATTGTAAAGCTATTCATATTTTAAAGTTTAATGTGTACACATTAAAAATATAGCCTAATTTATAAATTTATTAAAATATCTTTAATAAAATGAATTTATGTCGTAAAATATTTTTTTAAAATATACATGCAAATAAACCAAATTTAAAAAAGAGAAAAGAAAAAATAAAATGTCATAACATTAAGTGTTAAGATATATAATAATAACCTTATAATAAATTTAATAAAATTATAGTTCACGTTATGTCTTATATATTAATAGTTATTATTGAATGTCTTAATATTTTTAATTTAATGCTAAGACGTCACACTAAATCATTATAATTTTTCCTTTCGTCTTATGAAAATTCACTCTATTACTACTTTTTCCATACTAATCTCTTCTTAGAAAATCTTAATTAAAGACACTCATCCCATTTGTGGGGTGCATTCAATTAAATTCAATTTCATTGAATTATATATTCCTTTACCACTACACATCGCATAGCTGAGATATGAGTCTATTCTAATTTTCATCTTTTAACTGAACTAGAAAAGTCTCTACCTCAAAAGACTGTGAACTGAAGCAAAATGAAGGCATTTTGGTTTGCTAGCTCCAAAGAAAATGCTCAGGAAACAAAGAATACTAATACACGTGAACAGTGAAAACGGGGTTCAAGCAAAACAATATGGCAAATCAGACATCACCATCCACCTTCACTCAATTGGAATTTCTCACAACGAACGCTACTACACATCCCAATACAGCACCTGCAAGACCCTGAATCAATGTCAGAGTAAAATGACAATAAAATTGGTGTCAAATGAAAGGCAATAGTGAGCAAGAACTTAAAATGTCAATAATGAGTTGCAGAATGAAATAATACCACAACAATGTAAATATTTGTTGTGTTTTAATAGTGGTTTCATCCAACTAAAAAGCTGCAAGGATCTTAAAATGTCTAGGCCAAAGGTTGAATGAGTAAATGAAAGTAAAAGCAACTCCACCAGCTGAATCTTGTAGATTCTCGGGGTTTGAGAAATAATATTGTCAAATCATGAAGTCATTCCAATTTCGTAATGGAACAAAAGCAAGAGAAAATTGATCCGTGCTGTTACTGAAGACTATGCAAGAATTTTGCATGAGCTCTGAGAACATTATTGTTGATTTTGTCTAAGTAAAACTCATGATTCCAATCTAGCAAGCCGATGAAAATATTTAAAAATATTTCATGTAGAGGTAGCCAATGGTTTGTTACAAATTGTTGATAGTAAAATACCTGAAGTGGAGTATGGCCAAGTGAATCTCGAAGAGGTCTAGCATTGGAAAGAGGGTGCTCAGGAGGTAGCTCACAAACAATCTGATTCAGTAACTGCATAAACACACAATTGTATAAGATGTAAACAAAATATTTAATGAGGTAACAATTAAGAGAGTAGTCATGCAGATTGAACAACATTGAGTTGGAACTTTAAGGATAAGGGCCATAGAAAACACTTCAAATTTTAAATGATTCCTCATCAAACTTCAGCAGATACGAGAATAGTTTTGATAAGAAATAAATTCACCCATATCCACAAAATGCTACAACTCAAAAATTCTTACCTCAGCCTGACGACCAGCATGAAGTCTTACACCAGAAGCATCATACATGACCTGCCAAAAAGCGTGGGAAGTAAATTCAGGCAGTCTCCCTACTTATATTATACATATATTCTGACTATTTATAAGTTGAAGATTAGAAAATAGAAACTGATAATGTAAACAAGCATTAAAAAAACAAACTCACCAAACTAGGATGAAAAATAAAGTAAATGCTATCAATATGAAAGAGTAATAACCCTTTTAGTTCTAAAGAGAATAGAAAATGACAGTGAAATTCTGAAAGAAACTAAACTTGACGAACTAGGGTCTTGGAACAGGGGATGCTGAATAAAAATAGGAAGTTACAGCATAATTCAAAACCTCTTTTCCATATTTGATAGCTATCTCTCCTTGTTCCATTACAAATCCTCAATTGCATACTTGTGGTAGTGATAAAGAAAGCAATTTTGTTTATTTTATCCGTTTATATATTCAAAAACTAGACTTTATAAATTATTGGGCAAACTGATCACGCCAAAAAGGACTGTGGAACACATTTTACTGAAGCAGATAGGTTGTTTAAAGATTAGAAAATAGGGATCACTTCAGAGAATGATGAAATCAATAATTTCAAGCCTAGTAGCGAAATTAGTGTTGTAACATTTCATGTTACTTGAAACAAGTTCCAAGTAGAGAAGTTTTTTAACAATTTGAAAAGGCCAGTAAAGCCAGATCATTCACAAAGTCTAAAGAACCATGCTGACCCTACATAACAAATAAAATTGAACATTATTTCCATTAAGCAAGCAAATATAAATGGACAAGCTAACCAGGACCATCAGATGACGGAGGGCTTGCCCCAAAACATTTCTGATAACAAATAAAGCCAAACACTATTTCAGGTAAGCATACCAATATAAAAGCACAAGCTAACACAAAAGGAATGAAAAAGAGCTGGTTTGGAAATACATACAACACATGCCATTACCAATGCAACAGAAAATATTGGTCCACTAATTCCTTCTTGCAAGCCAATGGCAAAATACTGAACACTAAGAAAATTAATAGGACTTACTTAGGTTTCGTAAAAAAGTAGAACTTAAATTTAGCAAAATTTCTAGCACTGGCAATATCAGTAATTTCATTTGAGATTTCGTGCCGAACAACCTGTGTGTATTTGGAGGAGTCAATTTCCAGAAAATCAGTTTTGGCTTTTCTATTAACCAAATTTATTTCTATTGAGCCATTGGCCCATTTTTTAAAGGGTTTTCAAACACTAGAAAATGTAAAAAATAATTAGAAATGGTTTGCTCCCAACCAAACGAATCCTAAAGGCATATTTGGTTTGAAGAAAGTGA